CACATTCACAGTTAGAAAAAGCGCGCAAGCGGCAATGGCTGAGTTTGTGGACGGCAGACGGCTCCCAAGCATAGGCCTCAGCCAATCTCAGACATGCCTTAAGTTACCACGACTTTACTACACAGCTACTGGAAACATGAGTCGCAGCAGTCTCAAATGAATCTCTCAATCATATCCATCGATCACAACGGGCAACTCCTCGACTGGCCAGCTCTAATGTCCGAGCTTCCGGCTGATGGCTTTCTCCAAGGCAGACTGCACGAAGGCACTGCGCAGCGCAGGCTAGCCGATAATTTAATGGAACCACTGACGGTGAAGTGTGAAGAGTACATGCGCAAGTAGCGATCGCCGAGGTTCTGGCCAACACAGCTTTCTCCCAGCCAAAGGCCTCGGCAAATCCCAACATCCCAATATGGGGTCATGATGTGAGACTGCATAACACAGGCAGATAGTGGAAGCCTGATGTTGCAGCATGAGCTATCCAATTTTTCTGTCGCTTGGATGACCTTAGGCTTTAGGCAGCTCCTTTCGTGACGAGATGCAACCATTGTCAAACAAGGTATCTGTGCATTGCCCCGCATTGCCCAACCATTTCAGGAAGGTATACAGTGGCATCAAAAGTGCAACGGGTGTCCCTGGGACACGCGCCGCTACCCCGCAATGATCCTAGTGACTTGCCACAATGTGAATGACGCATGCCTGCAGGACTGTCTATTCTTCCTGACTGATGCGTAAGTTACTAACAGTGAGGTGGCAAGCTCACTCCCTAGATCGCCAGGATTCCCGGCCAACACTTCCTGTAGCATGTTGAATTTACTGCTTCACATACACATTTATAATTTAATTACTCCAAATACACCTCTGTCCTGCCAGCATTTTTTGAAGTGATGCCTGGGAGTCCTGAAGTGCAAAAAAAAATCAGGCGTTCTGGCTGCCCTCGCCGGACATAGCCTGACACTCTTCCTCTGTCAGCTCAAAAGCATTCTCTGCTTCAAGCTCTTCTTTAAAATGCTCGGTAATGCAGTCTGACAATGACTGCAAGTAGAGCGGATGATCTGACTCTGTCAGCACCCGCAGAGCCTCCATGTCAATACAATTTGAGACGAACGCCAGATGAGCTGCATTCTTGGTCAACCCGAAATATGGGATGCCATCCCGCAGGCATTGCTTTGCCAAAGTGCCATTGCCTGCAGTGCAATCGAATACTGCTCCGGCCCCAGTGAACTGGAGCATCGCCTGCCACAGCTCGCCACACCTTCGCAACTTAATGCATGGAACACACAAGTAAGCAATGTGGGCACATTTTCCAGGAAGTCTGGGGACAAGTCTCAATAAAACTGAGTGCTCCACTTGGACTCCTGCCAAAACAAAGGTGTACCAGCTCTGGACCAAGAAGTCGGTCGCTTTGACTCGCGGCCCAGAATTTTTTGTTTGTCTGCAGCCGTTACCATGGGCATGTTAACAAAGGGAGGGAGATCCACGCAAACGAAGCTGCTCTCGTAGGAACTGCAGCTGTCGTCCGTCGGAACATAATTGTCCTGAAAAGGGAAGTACGGCAGCAAGCCATGTATCGCGACATGATTTTCCTTAACAGAATATCTTCCACACGCCAGCCTCGCGATCCTTGGTATTGAGTCGCACCCTTGCGACCTGACCCTTCATGAAGCCGATTTCGTGGTGAGGCGCGCCCCCAAAGACTCGCCGGCTGGCAGGGCGATCGGCAGCTTTCCCGGTGCGATATGAGAGCCAAATATCAGTGACCGTGGATGGACACTGCAAGACACTCAGAGCATCCTCGAGGAATCGCCGGTTGATTGCTGAGCGGCCACAGAAAGCGACAATGAAGTCTGTCTGCTGCACCGCAACCTTCTCGAGGAACTTCAGGATCTTTGTGATTTCTTCCTGATGATTCTTCTCCAAGCTGGAAATGGAAGACCAAGGGGTTGGCGAGGTTTCATCGTACAGGTCCATGGAAATGACAAAGACACGATGAGACGAGTTCAGCTCGGCCTTGAAGCCGCGGACGTGTTCGGC